AGGTCATGATCTCACAAACTGTGAGATCGAGCCCTGCTTTGGGCTCTGCGTTGACAGCATGGCGCCTGCTTGGAGTTCTTTCTCTCCCTCTCTCTCTCGCTGCCCCTCCCCTGCATGCACTCCCTCTCTCCGTCTCTCCCTCTCTCTCTCTCTGTCTCTCAAAATAAATAAAATAAACATTATGAAAAGAAAATTCTCAGCATCAGCCTGATCACCATCTGCTTATGGAATTTCTCTTCCAAGTATCACTGGAAGTTCTGTCTCCAAATGAGCGAGGATTCTTCTAACAGCCACCGATCCTGTTATGGAAGCATAACAGGCGTCTACGATCATCATAGCTTCCCCGAAAAGAAAATACAAGTCAGGTCCATTTTCTTGTGTTCATTTTAGATGGGAAAACCTTGCAAAATTGGATTCATCTCTGAGACATCTCATTGCATGAAGTCCTGTTTAATCAAAACCAAGGCTCTTGACATTTTTGACTTTTCACAGTGACTACCCAGCTAATTGGTATGAATGAGGAGAACAAGCTTAGTCTTCTGAGCTTCATAATAAGGATTAGTTATCATACTTGGGTGCGTCAGTCATACACCCAGGATGCTTTTATGTTTGTTACACCAATGGAATCATCCGACTGATTTTCTCTGTAGTTGGAATGCATAATTACGCATGTTATTGATCTTTTGCCACATGAATTTTATGAAATCCCTGTATGTTTGCTCTTCTTTTAAAGCCAAAGAAACTGACCTTCAGCAATTTTGGGAATCTGAGAAAGAAGAAACAGGAAGATGGGGAAGAATATGTTTGTCCAATGGAATTGGGACAGGCATCAGGAAGTACATGCAAGAAAGGATTTAAACCTGGTTTGGACATGCGCCTGTATGATGAAGATGAGTTAGACCGGTTAGAGCAGGTAAATGCAACACTGTATACGAAAGTTCCTCCAGCATTGAAACACTAAAATGGAAACTTCATGCACTATGTCTACTAATCAGTTTTTCCTCAAACACCATAAAATAAAGATAATGATAAGGTAATAGTCAACAACTTCCAGATTGCTTACTATGTTTCAGGCACTCTCCTGAGCACATAACATATATGAACTTTCATGGTGACCCTAAAACCTACAGAGCATGGTTATCCTCATTCTAGAGAGAAGGAAACCGAGGCACAGATTCAGTAACTTACCCAAGATAGAAGAGCTGCTAGAAGAACTGGGATTCCAACTTGCCAGGCCAGCTCCAAAGCCTGAGCTATTCACCTATGTTATATCGTCTCTGTGTTAAGGAAATCTGTGTGTTAAATCAAGTCAGAAATACACAGCTGTTAGCCTTTTCAGTATGAAGTCATGGATTTGAATACTACCCTTTCAACACCAATCCTTTGGTGTCATTGTCAACATCAGAGCATTGCACTATATGTGGTAGTCTTGTTTCATCTAGTATTTAATGTCTGGTTACAGTAACGAAAGGAGGTTTCATCAGAAGTGTTCTGTTGTGGGGCACCTGGGTGGCTCGGTCGGTGAAGCATCTGACTCTTGATTTCTTTCTTTTTTCCTTTGTTTTTTAGTATTTATTTTTAGGAGAGCACAAGCAGGGGAGGGGCAGAGAGAGGGAAGGGGGACAGAGGATCTGAAGTGGGCTCTGAGCTGACAGGCTGACAGCAGTGGCCCAATATGGGGCTCGAACTCACGAACCGCAAGATCATGACCTGAGCTGAGGTCAGACACTCAACTGACTGAGGCACCCAGGTGCCCCTGACTCTTGATTTCTGCTTGGGTCATGATCTCACAGTAGGTAGGATTGAGCCCCACATCGGGCTTTGCGCTGGGGGCATGGGGCCTGATTAGAATTCTCTCTCTCTCTCTCTCTCTCTCTCTCTCTCTGCCCCTCCCCCTTCTCCCTCCCTCCCTCTCTCTGTCCCCCTTGTCCTCCCTCCCTCTCTCTTCTCTCAAAATAAATAAACATTTTAAAAAAAGAAGTGTTCTGTTGCACCCATCCCATTCAGTGTCACTCACGTTATTCTTAGACTTTTGCTCACTTTGCTGTGCTTTCTTTGAAATTGTGCAAATGAGGAGGTCATGTTATGGTATGTTCTTTGCAGATGGAAGATTCAGAAGGGACAGTGAGACAGATAGGTGCGTTCTCTGAAGGCATCAACAATCTAACGGTAAGTCTATAAAATGAGTTTAAAATGTTAATTCTCCAAGATATGTTTAAAAATAATCCCAAAGGGGGCGCCTGGGTGGCTCAGTCGGTTAAGCGGCTGACTTCAGCTCAGGTCATGATCTCGTGGTCCGTGAGTTCGAGCCCCGCGTCGGGCTCTGTGCTGACAGCTCAGAGCCTGGAGCCTGCTTCTGGTTCTGTGTCTCCCTCTCTCTCTGACCCTCCCCCATTCATGCTCTGTCTCTCTCTGTCTCAAAAATTAAATAAATGTTAAAAAAAAAATAACCCCAAAGGACTACATGTTTCATGGAGGATGTGTAGTTCTGAGCTCGTGGCTTCCAGTGTGTGTGACCCCCGTCTCCTTGTTTCCCAGCACATGTTAAAGGAGGACGACATGTTCAGAGACTTCGCCGCCCGTTCCCCCAGTGCCAGCATCACCGACGAGGACTCCAACGTTTAAACCACGGCCCTCAAATGAGCATCAGGAGCCCCTCGCCTTTTCTCCACCTTCTTTCTCAAACACTCACAGAACACATAACAAGCAGCAGATTGTTTACTGTCTATTATTCCAACTTCTCATGTGGAAGTGGAAACCGAAAGCAGGGGGTATGTGCCCGTTCTGAAGACGCCACGAAAAAGGAGACACTGGTGAATGAGACGATAATCGTTTTTCTTCTATTTAATGTACAAATCTGTGATATATTATATTTAAAGTATTGCATTTAATATGAGTGTTTTACCGTCGTGTTGCCATTCCCCTTCACGGTATGCAGGATGTGGGAAGCAGGAAGCAGTCTGTGAATGACTCTGTCACGTCTGCGTCCGTCCGTGTGACAGCACCACAGCCATCAAAGCAGAGCATCGTCTGCTTTCAAAATCAATAGGTGGAATTTCTTTAAGCATTCAGTGTGCCCGCTAAGTGCCAGCCACACCTCCCCTTGCCTCCCGTGGTCCTTTTTTATATATTTTTTAAAATATGTGTACATATTTAGTACATAGAAAATAGAACTTTTATCTTGTGACATAAGGCAGATGGTGAAAAGCAAACACAGCGATCAGAATTTTCATGGACCAGCTGGTTTCATGGAAAGGTTGGGATGATCTTTCCTTCTCCACAACTGAATTGTAATGCTGTTGATCATTCCAACCAAATTAGTATATCTGAAATACCCCTCCCTTGATGATACATCACAAAATTGTTGAAGAGTTAAGAAGTTCAACCTTAATCTTGGATCCTTTTACCTCCAAAGGAAGAACTCAAGAGACATTTAAATACTCTTAACTTGAATGCATTCAGGAGTTCCCCCAAAATGTAGACATAGAAATGATTTCTGAAGAAACCAAAACAAAACAAAAACCTTTACAGTATTAAAGCTTCTTGTTTTCCTCTTTGCTAAATAGTTCATTACATCAAAACACTGTCTACCTTATGTTATTGAACGTACATTTCTCAGGCTATCAATGAATGAGATTTTTTTTTTAAGAAGCTGAATATTTGGACATTTTGTCCCAGGGTTCAAGAAGTCTGAGGCTACAACATGAGTTTTATAATGGCTGTATTGCGATATGAAAATGTAGTTCATGATTGTTGATCGCACAGGGCCCAAATATCATTTATCAAGAAATGACTGTTTATCACTTTTTAAGGGGTATTAGAAAAATTATTCTATGTTTTATTCACTACTACATCACTTCTCCTAATAGCCAACTTGGGAAAGACAGGTTTTCACAAACTGGCACAGGGGGAGCAGTTCCATACACGCCAGTGGACGTGCTTATAAATTCTGTTTGAATGTCGGTTGTGTGATCTCGCAAGCTATTAGCAAGTTATCAAGCTTTTCAACAAGGGCCTGTCGAACTAAATTGCTGTTTATTCATTACTAAAATGATTTGATGCTAATAATAATCTTTTGCTCCCCACTAGTCGTTTGGTAACTGTATTGGACTCCTTACATATTAGTGTTTTATTTTAATGCAAACATCTGTCACCATTTGAAAAACAGTTTCTTATCCAAACCTGGTTAACACAATACCAGGAGACTGTTATAGATGCCAAATATTCTTTATTCAGGACAGTGTAACATAACTGATGATATGTGATAAAGTTCAGATTTTTTTGACGATATATATTTTATTTACGAAATGTTGTACACTGCTGGTATTACCATATGAAAAGAAATAAAGTCAATTGATGATTGCCTCATTTTTGTTGTCTGTGACTTTATTTTCCTTTGTTCAGAATACCCACGGGGCTTTATTTCTGGTGTAGAGAACAGTGACACAAATGCTTTATAATTCACAAACTCCCATACGTTTATTGAGGTGAGGCTTATAGCACGTATCAACAGGTAGAAATGTGAGGACTCAGAGGAATTTCTGTATGAAAGGAAACAGGCTGCTGGGCTGGGGCGGGGGTGAGGAATCACGGCAGAGGGGTTATCGGAAAAGCAAAGGGAAAGGACTCACCAGCAAAGTTGAAGACATTAGTTGTATGGAAGGAGGTGTATGGTTCTTTAAAACACTGAATGCTACTTTTAATTTAAGTAAAATCTGAAAAGTGGAAACCTGTCTTGGAAGAGATTGCCAAATATTAAAAGTTGAGTGACTAGAACTAGAGAGGAACAGCTGTTTTTGGTGAAGGTTAGTTATCTCTCACTTAATAAGCCAGCAGGAATCTGTATGAATACAACACGCCTCATTGGCAAACAGGGAGACCTAACGTGTTTGCTTAGTTGTGTGTAGATACGCTTAGCTACCCCACATAAATGTGGAGTCGGAAAACTGGGCCCACGTTAACAGATGTGACTTCGTTGTAAGATTTTGAATCTGGAAAAGAAGTCACTCTGAATGAGGATCACACGTGTGACCTTCGGAAGCAGTCTTGACGGGATGCAGAGAACATGGGGCAAAAACCATCACAACAGTTGGCTCTGAAAGACGGCACAGAGGTTTTCAGCGTCGGTGAGGTTGTCAGTGAGGCGATAGTCCATGCAGCTGAGAAACTGAAGGACTATCTTGGATTTGAAGATCCTCTGAGCAACCTGTGCCCAGCTTCAAACACTCTGAATGAGATCTTCTTAATCCACTTTGTCACCTTCTGCCAAGAAAAGGGAGTTGATGAGTGGCTCACCACCACCAAGATGTCCAAGCACCAAGCCGTACTGTTTGGGGCAGACTGGATTTGGACCTTCTGGGGATCCGATAAGCAAATAAGGCTGCAGCTGGCAGTGCAGACCCTGCAGATGTCTACTCTTCCTCCTGTGGTTTCTAAGCCTTGCGACTTCTCACATCCAGAACCCGGGCCAGAGGAGCCTTCCAGGAAGAGAAGTAGATTCGATAAGCTGGAAGATTTCTGTAACTTGATAGGAGAGGATTGCCTGGGCCTATTTATCATCTTTGGTGTGCCAGGAAAGCCCAAAGACATCAGAGGAGTTGTCCTGGACAGTGTCAAAAGTGAGACAGTGAGGGGCCATCTGCCAGGAGCAAAGGCCGTGGCGCAATTTGTCCGGGAAACTGAAGACTGTGTCTCCATCAGAGAGCTGCTTGGAAACTGTCTGAGTAAGAAAGATGGGCTGAGAGAGGTGGGCAAGGTTTATATTAGCATCCTCTGAACTGGATGTGCACAATCAGACTGGCCTGTAAGACAAAAAGAAAAAATATTCTAATAGGCAAGCTCACACACTTGCATCATCCCAGCATGGGATATGTTGGGTTTTTTTTGTTTTTTTTTTTTTTACACCCACCCTCCATTGAATGAAAATGATCACCTGGGTCAAAAAATATAATGTCATGACTACGGAGAGGGGAAAAACCCTGCCTACATTGCAGGGAAAAGTTACAATTTCCTTTATTCAATTTTAAAAATGGGAGGAGGGGATAATAAAGTCACCCTTGAAGTTTGATTTGCTTAAAAAATGTGTCTTTATTATAATAAGTCTAGAACTTGAAAGTGTAAAATATATTTTTACTGCTGCGGGTGGAAGGTGGCTGGGGTGAGGTGGTGCCATGCAGTCTCATGGACTACAGAACAGGTTTAATTACATTTACGATACCAGTTTCATTCCAGGACTCCTAGGCAAAACCTCATTCCCCTTTCTTCCCCTAAGCTCTGCCTTTGCTCCCAGCTCATCCCCAGCTGCTTTCTCTGTGCACAGAGGATCTTGGTGGGATTCACTCTGGCACTTACTTGAGTGTCAGCTTTTTCTAGGATTTAAACACAGTGACCCCTATAGCAATCCCTTGTAATGATGATTAACATTTGTTTAGCATTTACAGTAAGTAAAGTGTATTCACTTATAAAAACCATCTTTGCTTAAAAGCCTGGGTAGAATTCTAGTACTTTAAGGGAGGAAAACTAACAGCAGAAGCAAAAAAAATGCTTAAAAGTGAAAATGAAAGATTCACTCACATGACTGGTAAATGATTATATGTTAGGCCCTGTCCTGCGCCTTTCCAATCCAGTAGTAAAAAGAACAAGGTCCCTACTTTTGGGCAGTCTCTCTTTTAATGGTGGAAGACTATCCATAAGCAAATATATGTGTATATACTTAAAAAAGTATATCGGGTGTTATGTGAAAATAAAGCGTGGATAAAGGGATCGAGGGTGAGGACGTGCTACTTTATATGGGGTGGGTAAGGGAGACCTCTGAGAAGGGGGTAATTGACCAGAGGTCTCAGTGAAGAGGGAAAGCATCAGAGCAGATAAATCTGGGAAAGAATGTTCTAGGCTTAGAGAGCTGTAAAGGCAAAGGGCTAAAACAGGAGTGGAGTTGATGTGATTGAAGCACATACTTGTAAGAACTTGATCTTATTCTGAGTGATAAAGGGAGAGAAATGCCTTGATCTGCTTTACAATTCAAAACCCTCACTTGATTGCTGGCTGGAGACTAGATTGTGGGGAGGAAAGAGTGAAAGCAGAGCCCAGGGAGCAGCTAGGAAGCTATTATAATAAGAGGGAAAAGGATCAAAGTGGTACGGGAGGAGGGATGAAAAGGTCAGATCTAGGAATAGTCGAAGGTAAAGCTTACAGCGTTTGCTGATGATTGGATGAAGAATATGAAATGCATCACAATCAGAATGCTGTCTTTCCAAATTTCTTAAATATTACGGATGTATGCAAAGGAAGAAATAAAGCCCTGCACTTTGTGCCTGGAAGGTTAGAATACCCAATTAATGTTTCCTTGGCATATAGTGACCCCTATCTGTAGCAATGCTGTGTAGAGTAAGCTATCAAGAAAGTAGTATAGTAAAAACAACCTTCAGCTTGAAATCAGATGTAGGTTTGAGTTGAATTATCTAAAGAGCAGAGTCTGGTGACTTAACTCTTTGTTTTCTTATTTGTAAATGGGACTTACTTCAACTAATACAAAGGAGACAATGCTTGTGACGACATTTTCTATACTAAATTGTAAGCTGATGAAAATGTCGAAGACTCTAATAATACAAATTATAGATATTCATGTTCTAAACAGCTGGAGGATATAAGTCAAAGGCTTACCATGTCTTTTTTAAAAATTTTACTTATTTACTTTTAAGTTTATTTACTTTGAGACAGAGATAGTGGGGGAGGGGCCGAGAGAGAGGGGACAGAGAGAATTCCAAGCAGGCACTGCACTGTTAATGCAGAGCCTGACATGGGGCTCGAACCCATGAACCGTGAGATCAGAAGTGAAACTTTCCCTGATTTAAGATAGCACATTTTTTAAAAAATGTGTATTTTGCTGTAAAAAGGGACAGAAGTATACAAAGTTAAGGCTTCAGGAATCTCACCTCCTCTTTCCACATCTATTCCCTCCAGTTTGCTGTTACTTTACAGAACATGTACTGCATATTAAAAATATTTGACACAAATGGAATTATATGATCCATAACCTGCATTTTTTAAAACAACTATATACTTTGGACAATACTCCATGCTAATCAATTTATACCCACCCAGTCCTCTTTAAGGCTGACATCAGTGATTTTCAATCCTGCCTATATACTAGGTTCACTTGGGAAACTTAAAAGCAAAACCAAAAACCCAATGCATTTCGGAGTGAGGGCCTAGACAAGTTTTCTTAAATGTCTTGAGGTAATTATAATGTGCAGTCAGGATTAGGTTTCCACGTGTGCAAGTAGCACTCTGTGTTGTATGTATATACCTTAAAATATTTAAGCAATATTATTTTGATGGATATTTAGATTTCAAGGTCCATTCACATACCTGGATATTGTCTATTAACCATGCTTGTAAGTAAACATTCTCCGTTCACTCACTTTTTAGAAAAATGATGGTTTTGACCAAAAGCTCTCTGACAGAAAGTCATCGGATTAATCTATGGTTTAAATATAATAACCCATTATCAAAAACCTTAATATTTAAAATTATTCCACATGGGACTGGCTGCATAATTTGTGGAGCCCCGTATGAACTGAAAATGTGTGGCCCTTTGTTTTAAAATTGTCAATAATTTCAGGGCACCTGGGTGGCTCAGTCTGTTAAGCATCCGGCTTCGGCCCAGGTCATGATCTCACATTTCGTGAGTTTCAGCCCCATATCGGGATCTCTGCCATCAGCACAGACCCTGCTTCAAATCTTCTCCCCCACCCCCCTCTACCCCTCCCCTGCTCACTCAAAAATAATTTAAAAAATTTAAATTGTCAATAACTTCAAGACAGGGATAGCAGAACTCTAAGCCAAACACGGGGTTCCTCTAAGTGTGAGTTGCATCCCCATGATTCCATTTGTCTTCTGCAATATGTTGAATTATTTGGTCATGAAAGCCGAAGATTTTTATCATAAGTGAGTGCACATTTAAGAATTTTTCCAACTGAAAAATTATGTAATTCTTAGTGACTCCTATGTGCATGCTTTATTCTTTTTTTTTTTTTTTTTTAAGTTTATTTATTTTGAGAGAGAGAAAGAGAGGGAGAAAATCCCAAGCAGGTTCTGCACTGTCAGTGTGGAACCAGAAGGGGGGCTCAAACACAAACCGGTGAGATCATGACCTGAGCCAGTCAAGAGTCAGATGCTTTACCCACTGAGCCACCCAGGCACCCCTACATGCTTTATTCTTTACACTGCATTGAAACATTATTATTGCCTGTTGACAGCATTACAAATGAGATAACTCAATATAGAATGAGCCTTATTGTACTTAATGCTTAGGAAAACAATCACTATTTCTCTAGCTCCTCTAACTCTGGTCATGTCTGTCTACTAATGTCTTACAGAGACAGTACAACAAAAAGGAAACACAGGAAGGCAGAGTGAGGACCTAAGACTCAACTTCTTGCTCAGAAATTGAGAAATCTCTGAATATAAACTAATTCCATAAGGATTCATACTTCTTTTGTCCCTAAATTTGTATGGGATAGGTCTTGCACTCCATCCTACTGAAACATACATACTGGAGAGAGCAAAAATGGCTGCTGTATTGACCCTGAGATTAATTCCAGTGGCCACTATTTATATTCTGCCTTTTGAAACATAACTACTTAATCACAACAGTCTTGAGGAAAATATTATTGTTCCCATTTTCCACGAAACTGAAGCTCAGACATGTTAGGTAGATTTTCCCCAGATCACAATGAAACAGAGCCTGGATTCCAGCCTGCTATCTATCTGACTAAAAGGCCATGCTTTGAATCTTAAAAAGAGGAGAAGGTAGAACACCAAGTGAAGACAGAAGGAGACTGGAGTCCTGTGCCTACAAGCCAAGGGCTGCCAGGAAACCATCAGAAGCGAGGAGGGAGGCATAAACAGATTCTCTTTCAGAATCTCCAGAAGGAACTGTTAAACCTTATTTTTAAATTTTTAAAAAATACTTATTTTTGAGAGAGAGACACAATGTGAGCAGGTGAGGGGCAGACAGAGTGGAAGACACAGGGTCCCAGGCAGGCTCCAAGCTCTGAGCTGTCAGCACAGAGCCCGATGTGGGGCTGGAACCCACGAACCGTGAAATCATGACCTCAGCCGAAGTCAGGCGCTTAAGGTGCTTAACCGACTGAACTACCCAGGTGCCCCAGAGTTTTGGATGTATTAACTTGATTAGGATCAACCCAGCCACATAAAAATGAAGTCAAGTTTTAAACTCAAGTAGTCTGGCTCAAGAGGCTATCCATTTAACTACTATCAGATACTGCCTCGCCCTTAGAGTATATCACTTGCACCAGCTCAAGGCTTCTTTAAACCAAGAAAGTGTGTGGATAAGCAGCAACTGCAAAGGAGCAGGGCCCTAACATAAACTGCCAGGCTCCTGGGCTATCTGAAATCCCACCCAGACCACATTTGCCCTCTGTAAGCCACATTTCCCTCATCTCTTACGGTCCTCTTTGGACTGACCGCTTCGATTCCTTTTTCAACCTTCTTGTTTTCATTACTTTTTCCTATTTGGGGGCTACCTTCTTGCACATTTAACTCCAGCTCTGACTTTGCAGGCCCACGTGTTTTCTGTTTCTTCCCCCTGGGGGCGGGGCAAGCCGAAGCGAACCTGCGCGGTAGCGGCCGCACACCCTCCCCTTAACGCCAGGCTGCGCTTGTCCCATCCGGCTTGCCGTCGTCGCAGCCATGGCGGCCGCCACACTCCCCGCGTGGCTGGCCCTGCAGCCAGCGGCCAGGACCCTGCGTGCCTTCTGCACCGCCGTGTCTCCG